AATCAGCAAGTTAGTATACTAAAATCGAAGTTGGAGAAGATGGCTTACTTGCTTGCTCCAACACAAACTCAATTACGAACACCACATCTTTGAAGGTTGCAGAGATATGGGACTTGGCCAGATTTGGTGTTTTAAGAGTTATGACTTGTCCTGTGTCATAAAATCCAACTTTTTTGGGAATTTTCGTCTCAAGTGTATCTTCTTTGATGAATTCTAGACATTCCCCATTCGCTTATTGCTCTTGATTCTTTGGAAAGGTTTTGAAGATGCCTTTCTCACCTTTTTCTTCCTTGGATTGCATGATCCTACAAGGAATAAGGACATTTGGTGAAACGGGGTCAGGACAAATTGAATTTAGGCTTACCTTGGTTGTAGTGGACGGCATAGATGGCATATGGGGCTGCGGCAAGGGTGGTTCTTCCCTTGCCGTGGCCTTGTTATTCTCCTCTTCTTCGAGCAGCAACTGTTCATCCATGTTTTGGCTTGGTTTGGATGTCTTCGGTTCACCTCCAACCTCCATAGCACTTCCCAAAGTGACAGCATCATGGATTTCAAAATCTTTCTTCAAATTTTCAATAGTTGAGTTGGAGAGTTCACTTTGCTCTTGAATTTGTGCCATGAACTCCATAATCTGCCCAATTTGCTTCTCCATTTCTCCCGTCTTCTTGGCTTGATTTTGCATCTCTTTGTTTCCATTTTCTACTTCCTGGTTCAAAGAGGTGAGTAACTTATTAAACATATCATTATCCAAAGACGTACCTGAATTGAATTGGGCAGATTGTTGTGGTGGCTGCATAGGTCTTGAATAGAATTCCTCTTTTTGCTGCCAATACCCATCTTGTTGGAATTGTTGAGGTTCTCCCCACATGTAATCTGAATAATCTCTCCAATCCGAATTGTAAGCGTTGGAAAACATGTTGTCCCCTAATTGGCTATGGCCTTGATAACCCCAAGCAACTTCATTCGCAGCGAATTGAGAACATTGATGAGTTGGATATCCTTGCCATAGGACACACCATCTGTAGGGACACTTTGCATTGTTGTCCTTTCGGCATATTGTGACAATTGAGAAGTAAGTTTTGCCAATTGAGCTTGAATGGTAGCAAAATCCATATCTTACTTCTCTAGTACTTGAAATCAAGGAAACAAAACTAAATCAAATATCATAAGTAAAACTAAAAGACACAAATAGAAACAAAGTCAGTAACTAAAACAAAAAACATGAAAAATAAACAACGGGGGATTAGCAAAGTTGCTAATCCCCGGCAACGGCGCCAAAATTTGATGCGATGAAAGTTAAACACTCAAATTAAACCCTCTTGTTGTCAAATTGTAGTATAAATGCAAGTAGGGATCATTCTAAACCGGGGATTAGGAGGGCTTGCTAAAACCTCTAAACTTACTCAAAAACATAAAAACAAAGTTAAAAACGTTTGAATAGACTCAAGGGACTCAAAACAAATTCTAAAGACGTAAAACAACTTAAATACACTCAAAATTGCCTAAAAACACTTACTGGGCAGATTTGACTCTAACACAACTTTGGATGAATTTAGTGTTTTGGTTTGAATCAAAGCACTCAAAAACACTAACGAAATAGAAATTTAACACTTTGAAGCAACAAAGTAAAAGGGGGATTTTGGTTCTAACGAATTCGAAACAAACAAATAACTTATAAAATTAGACAGATTGTAAAGCGAATTTAAGAAATGGATGGATTAGCTAGAGGTCCGTTCTTCACACAGGACACACTTGTACATGAATTGATTTCCAATTGATTTTCAATAAACTATGATGCTCAACACCCCAGATTAACCGTGATGCACAAATTAACCCTCAGATTTTCCTTTACTCATTGAATTGGATGAATGCATGCGACAACCCAAATCATTCTCTAAAAGTCCCCTATATGAATGCATAATAAAGATACAATTAGATATCATTACGTTTAGTGAAAATCATAAGTGTTGACGAGGCAATCGTAACTATGAATGCATGATACGTTTGCCAAGAATTCAATTAACGCGATCGTGACAAGCAACCTTCACTACTCATGAATATAAACTTGTAATGATTAGGTGAAACTCATTTATATTCTAGCATCTAATTCATGCATGAAAACTAAGTATGCATCCTTAATAAACATACAAGAATCAGTTATGAAGAAAATAGATAATTGAATTGCAATCACAACTTATCAAATCACAATTGGAAGAAATGATTTCATATCTCAAGCATGTTCATGGCTTCAAACTTCCCCCTAACCAAATATGGGTTTAGCCACTCATAATTGCAACAAAATTAGAAAATAACAAAGTAGACATTGAAAGCAAGAACGAAATACACCTAAAACGCTCCAAAGTTCCAAGCTTGAAACGCCAAGGACCTTTGTTTTCACCACCTTGTTGCAGCGCAAGTGTCTAGGATGTGTATGGATATATGGATGGAATGGATCTCACGGCTAAGAGATGAAAGTGTATGGATTGGTGAGATGTAGTATGGCTAGATGAATGGATGGAGGTCACGGCAAGGAAAGGGATGAAATTGTTTGTGAATGTAGCTTCTTGGATGGATGGATGGAATGGATCTCACGGCATGGAAAATGGAAATGTATGGAGATGTGTTTGAATGTATGGATGAAATGGAATGGAGCTCACGGCAAGGGACTTGTGTTTGTGAATGAAGCTCTTTTGATGGATCAAGATTGTCCTTAGGAAGGGGAATGATGGATGTATTTATAGGCTAAGGAGAGGACCACTTCAATTCCTTGCATGTGCAGTTTGTATGGGTGTGTGATGTCCATGTTTCCCTTTACATTTGCACACACATGACCTCCATCATTTCAGCCACAAAACAAACACATTTTCTGCCATGTTTCTCCTTTACATTTACACACATATTCTTCATCATTTTAGCCACAAATCACCCATTTTCTGCCCATGTGCCGTGTGTTTCCATGTGATGTGCATTCTTTGCTTTCCCATGTGTGTGTGCTGCCATGTAATCATCATTTCCACATTGTACTAGCTGTTACACTTGCACACACATGTTCTTCATCATTTCAACCACAAAACAAACACATTTTCTGCCTTCCAACCTGTCCATGCAGTGTGCATGTGTGTGTATGTCATCCTTGCATGTGTGTGAGAGCTGTTTGATGTCTCCTCCCTTTGCATGTGCTGTGCCTTCTCTTTCTAGCTGTGCATTTCCATTTGCTCCAAAGCGAAATGAGTGAAATCATAACCCCATTTTCTACTGAGTGTTGATGACAAAGCAAAACACAAAACAAGTGCCTTTACTTCTCATTTTATTAGCCAAATATTCTTAGCCCTTTTCTGAACCTTTTAGTGTTACAATGCCCATAACTTCTTCTAGAAAAATGATATTAACAATCCGTAAATTGCTCCAGAAAATAGACATCCGTAGCTTTCCAAGAATATAAGGTTCATTCTCTCATTCATCCTGAGCTGTTCGTAACATACTTCCAAAGTCAGCTAATCTGCACAGGCAGTTTTGACGAATTTGTTACTTAATATCTCACTTGTGCTACTTTTCTTTTCTTTGCTTGATAAATCACACAAAACACAAAAACATAGTAAATAGCTCAAAAATATAAGAAACTAAATAAGAAAAGACAAGTGAATTTTATGTAAAATATATATAAATATGAGCTTATCAGCAGGGCCTTGTAAGTTCTTATAGGAGTATCAGCGTTTGTTAGAAGCTTTACTTTGTAATCATATGGATTATAATTAAAGACTTGCTTGGGTGTAGTAGAGAAATATTGTTCGTAAACTATTATTTCAATTATTAGAATTGTATGAGGACTTAAATGATTAAAATAGAGAAATGCATGCTAAAATGTACTCAGTGTTTAATTATCAGAAAACGAAAATGATGACAAATTTTTCTTTTGTAATTTTCAAGTTGTAAAAAAAAAAAAAACATGTAGATGGGTGAAAAAATGGGTAAATGGGTAAAAAAAAGGTCCAACGGGTTCAAAAACGAGTAAATGGTTATGGTTAAATGGGTACATGGTTATGGGTATGGTTAATAGTTTATAAACGGTTATAGGTATAAGTATAACCGTTTATGCAATTACCTAATGGGTAAACGGTTATGCCGGTATGAACATAAAAGGTTATGGGTAAATAACCGCGATTACCCGCCCGCCATAACCGTTGCCCATCCCTAATGATACCCTATAAAAATGGCCACGATGGTATTACTCACACACGCACGAGAGGCCTCTTTCTATTTGGTACCCGCTAAGCATCTTAAAATACAAATCGTCTGATTATATCTAAGGGATACTGCACCAAGAAGCTATTTCACGTAAGTGTGTCTGTGTCCCATTCTAGTGGCTAAACCATCATTTGACCCCTTGAACTATTATTCCAGTTGAAATTGATCTCCTGAATTATTTTTTAGTAAATTAACTTTCTAAACTATTTGAAATAAGTCAATTGACCCTTTTGTCGGTAGATTCCACCCACTATTTCGTCAAATTTAAAGGAAAATTAGTCTTTCCTTTATCAATTCTTACTTGTCAACTCTAATTAACAACGTAATTATGATATGTGAAAAACAAATAATATGTAATGACAATGTGAGATGGCCCGTTATGTAAATGTTTGGTTTTTTAAGTTTTCTCATTGTGATATATATTTTTGAATTATTTTGTGTCCATATGTCAAAATTTTATTGGTTGTTATAGCCGACAAATAACAATTAATAATGAAATGACTAATTTGCTGTTGAATTTGACGGAATTGATTCTGTAATCTAACAACAAGAGGTTAATTAATTGGTTTTAAATAGTTCAAGGGATTAATTTGTAAAAAGAAAAAAAAATTTAGGGATCAATTTCAACTAGAATAATAATTCAGTAGCAAGTCAGGCCACTACTGCACGTAACTCCAGAAATGCCAAATAAGTTGCAGAGAAAGGGATGGGAGGACAGTGAAAGCTAAAGAATCTATCGTTGTCCACTAAACTTTAATCAAGTCTCAGCCTCAGCCATTAAAATCTGATCGGATAAACCTCAGTAATGTTGTATATATTACTACTCATCGACCTCGCCTTAATTCCTAGCATTGTTATTTGTTCAATTTCCATGGATTCTCATAAAGAAAACCAGCAGATTCACTTTGTTTTGTTTCCTTTCATGGCTCAAGGCCACATGATCCCGATGATCGACATTGCTAGACTTTTGGCTCAGCAAGGCATCGTTATCACCATACTCACTACCCCTCGCAACGCAGCCCGTTATCAAACAGTTATTAGTCGCGCCATCGATTCCGGGCTTCTTATCCGGTTAATTCAACTGAAATTCCCATCTGAAGAAGCTGGATTGCCAGAAGGCTGCGAGAACTTTGACATGCTACCTTCACACGGCTTGGCAGTCACTTTCTTTGCTGCCACTGCCCTGCTTCAACCGCAAGTGGAGGAAGTGTTTGAAGAGATGACCCCCAAGCCAAATTGCATAATCTCTGACATGTGTCTTCCATGGACAATCGACATTGCTCGCAAGTTTCACATTCCAAGGCTATCTTTCGGCGGAACATGTTGCTTGGCTTTCTTGGTTATTCATAATTTGAGGGTATCCAATATACTTGAAAATGTAACTTCTGACTCGGAGTACATTGTTCTGCCTGAGATGCCAGATCGAATTGTGATCACCAAAGCTCAGCTTCCAGCTGGGGCAGTGACACAAAACGTGAAAGATTATAATGATAGGATGGTAGCAGCTGAGATGGCGTCATACGGGATGATCGTGAATAGTTTCGAGGAATTAGAACCAGCATATGTTAAAGCATACAAGAAGGCAAGAAAGGATAAAGTCTGGTGCATTGGCCCAGTTTCGCTGTGCAACAAAGATGACTTGGATAAGGCACAAAGAGGTAACAAGGCTGCAATTGATGCACATCACTGCTCGGATTGGCTTGATTGTCGTGAATCAGGCTCTGTAGTTTATGTTTGTCTCGGAAGTTTGTGTAACCTAGTGTCTGAACAACTGATGGAGCTTGGATTGGGGTTAGAGGCATCGAATAAGCCGTTCTTTTGGGTTGTAAGGGGCTGTAGCCAAACAGAGGAATTGAAGACATGGATTACAGAAAGCGGATTTGAGGAGAGGACCAAAGACAGGAGCCTGTTGATTTGGGGTTGGGCTCCGCAAACACTGATATTGTCACACCCTGCCATTGGAGGGTTCTTAACACACTGTGGATGGAATTCAGCATTGGAAGGGATATGCGCCGGCCTGCCTTTGATCACATGGCCACTTTTCGGAGATCAGTTTCTCAATGAGAAACTTGTTGAACAGATTCTGAAAATTGCAGTGAGAGTTGGGATTGAAAATCCAATGAAGTGGGGAGAGGAGGAGAAGATTGGGGTGTTGGTGAAAAAGGAAAATGTGAAGGTGGCCGTAGAGAAGTTGATGGATGGAGAAGAAAGCGAAGCGAGAAGAGAGAGAGCCAGAGAGTTGGGAGAGATGGCAAGGAGAGCAGTAGAAGAAGGGGGATCTTCTCACCTAAACATTACACTGCTAATCCAAGATATCATGCAACAAGGAAATAATGGCAGTGAGACAAACTAATTAAGAAGAGAGATTTTAGGATTATGTGTACTGTATTAGGATATTAGGGTTATACGCATGATGGAAGCTTAAGATATTAGTATTATACTTCAATACGCATGTTGGGCCCTTTTAAAAAAAAAAAATTATTATTATTAAGGGGAGAGGCCGGAAGAGTTCAAAACTATTATAATTAAGGAAACGGAGAAGTTACCTAGGAATATGGATATTAGACCACATGTTGCACCATATTAGGATTATGGATTGTTATATGTGCAAGTGTACCGAGTGTTGTGGATTTAGCATGTTGGTTAATGGAATATATCTTAATTTTCTGCACTCAAATGGTATAGTGTATTGATCTGTAATCATGGTCGAAGAAGTTGGAATGCAGTATCAATGGCGGCTAAAGAAGTGGTATCATGTGGGCATAAACTATACTAAAGAGTGAAAACCTACGTACCAACCCAGCCAAACTTAGGACGGCTGGGACTCATGTCGGATTTTCACAGTTTTTAGTTTGTTGCTACCGAATCTAGGGCTCATGATGCACTCAGTTGTAGTTATTTTTTAATATGCATTGTTTTAGACTTCAGGAGTAGGGGAATAAATTGTTGTTTTTAGGATCAGTTTGGTATTGTCTTTTTTTTTTTTCCACCAAAAACTATTGACGGTGATGATGACTTGGCAATCAACTAATGACATGGCAATATTAGACATTAAAGACTGATGACTTGGATGATGACTTGGCATTTAGTCTGTTAATATTGTTGTAACTAATTCAGGTTGTTAGGACTGATTGTTAGAGTTAGTTAGCACAAAGAGGCTATATAAGCCAAGTATTGGTGTAAGAATCGATCAATCAAGTGTATCATTTTCCTTTAGAAATACAAGCTTTCTCAATTCATTTTTCCTTTGATTTTCTCTCTGCTTCTTCCTTTATATTTCCCATTCCCTTTCTATTTTCCAGTTCTGTTATGATGGTATCATCGCCGAGGAACGATCTATGGTGTGTCTTCCGCTGTGTCTATCTGCTTGTTTGGTGATTGGTGATTTGTGCTTGGTGTTCTTCAATGGTGCAATTTTCTGGGCGACCTCAGGTTTTCAGTTTCTATTTCAGAAATTATGTCGATGAACTGTTTGTTAAATTGTCTCAGTAAGAATTTTAGTTGAAAATTGATGATATTCAAGGCCGATGCCATGTTTGTTGAATGAGGATGAAAAGTATTAGAAGTTGAAAGATTACAAAGGCCGAAGCCAATCTTTCTTGTATACAAATTGTTTTGGGTTGATCTTCGTAAAGTTTCTGGATTTTGCTGCATTTTATAAGGCCAAAGCCGAGGTGCAGTATTGATAAGCATTGTTGATTTCTTCTTTTCTGTTGTAGTGTTGAATTCTTGGTTGCTCTTGAATCTTTTTGGGGTGTTTCTTGATTAGTCAATCATGTCTGATTCTGTGAAAATTGAAGGGTTGTTAGGGATGTTGACTGTGAAACTTCAAGATGACAACTTTGTCAAATGGAGCTACCAATTTCAGTCAGTATTAAGGGGTTATGATTTGTTTGATCATTTTACTGGTGAATCGCCATGTCCACCAAGGTTTGTGATTGATACTGAGGTAGGTGTCACAAATGAAATTACAGTAGCATACAAGAATTGGGTCAAGAAAGATTTGGTGTTGCTCAGTTTATTAATTGCTAGGCTATCGGATGATGCGATGGAATATGTCATTGGATGCAAAACGTCACATGAAGCTTGGACCTGTTTGCACGACAGGTTTGCATCCATATCTGTGGTACGGATTAACCAATTGAAAACTGAGTTTTATTCTTCCCAGAAAGGTGGGGAATCTATTGAGAAGTTTATGCTGAAACTGAAGGGTATAAAAGATCAACTGATTTCAGCTGGAGAGAAAATTACAGACAATGATTATATGATTGTTGTATTATCTGGATTGCCTGTGGAGTTTGAGATGATCAAGACTGTTATTCTTGCTAGGGAAACATCTATGTCTTTAAAAGATTTCCGGGCGCAATTACTTGGAGCTGAAGCAAGTATTGAGACACGAATGCACTCGCTGAGTTCTTCTATGGCTGCAATGGTGGTGCAAGGTGAAGGGTCTAATTCATAGAGATTCCAAGGAGGATATGAACATGGTGAAAGTTCTAACTCTAATAGGGATTTTTATCATGGGAGTCAATCTAATGTTACAGGAGGCTCTGGCTATGTTGGTACGGCAAACAGATCTTTCAACAGAGGAATAATTGGCAAAACAACTACTCCAGAAGGTTCAATAATGGGAATAATAATTCAAAGTCTTACTCTGGAAGTTATGGTAACAGGAATGGGAATTCATATGATGGCAATGGAAGTAGCACTTACTCTGGAAATGGGAAGCAATCTCAGAATGGCAATTTTTGGAATACAAGAACTAACTATTGGAATGGGAATACAAATTACAAATCCTCGGTTTCTCCAGAATGTCAGATTTGTTCAAGAAGGGGGTATACTGCTCCAAATTGCTACTACAGAGCTGACAACATTAATACACAAACTCCTGGTGGTTTTATAGTCTGTCAGATATGTGGAAAACGAGGTCAAATTGCATTGGAGTGGTATCAGAAACAATTTCTCCTATCAGGGTGCTCCCCCATCATCTTCATTAACTGCAATGACTGCACAAGGACATATTGGTCAGCAAAATGCATCTGCATCATCAACAACTCATGATTTCTCAGCAGCTGATACTTGGATTGTGGACACAGGGGCCACACATCACATGACTGCCAATATGAATGCAATGAATCAAGCTACACCTTACACTGGAAATGAAAAGATTGTTGTGGGAAATGGTGAAAGTTTGGCTGTAAAGCATATGGGGTCCTCTATTATTCCTATATCATCGAATCATTCATTAAAATTGCATAATGTGTTGCATGTTCCAATGATTACTGTCAATTTGCTCTCAGTTAAGAAATTATGTAGAGACAATGCTTGTTGGTTTATATGTGATGATCTTACCTTCTTTATACAGGACAAGGCCACAAGGGTGATTCTATACCAAGGAAAGAGTGATGATGGGGAGTTATTCAAGATTCCAGTGAGCACTTTTTCAGGATCATTTACTGCGCAGTTAAGTAATTGTGCTGCTTTTTTGGGGAAGACAGTTCAACAGTCAGTTTGGCACCAGAGACTTGGACATCCATCTCAAGAGATCTTAAATGCAATGTTGACAGATTCAAAAATATCAGTTAGTACAAAGTCTAATGATTGTATTTCCATGTGTTCTTCTTGTATACAAGGCAAAATGTGTAGGCAACCATTTCCAATAAGACAAACTAGAGCTAGTAGTCTTTTTGATAAGGTCCACACTAATGTATGGGGTCCATCTCCAACAAAGTCTATAGAAGGGTATAGATACTATATGAATTTTGTAGATGAATATTCAAGATTCATGTGGATTTTTCCCATGGTGAATAAATCAGAAGCTTTCCATATTTTTGCCAAGTTTTATGCCTTTGTGTTAAATCAATTTGGGATAACTATAAAATGTTTACAATCTGACGGAGGTGGGGAGTATATGAGCAAACTGTTTAGTGATTTCTTGGGGTATAAAGGCATCAAACACATGGTTTCATGTCCTTATACTCCTCAGCAGAATGGTCTTGCTGAAAGGAAGCATAGACACGTGGTGGAAACTGCATTAACATTAATGGCTGAAGCAAATTTGGAACCTAAGTTTTGGTATCATGCTTGTGCACATTCTACTATGTTGATTAATAGAATGCCATGCAGAGTTCTTGAAATGCAATCTCCATATCAGTGTGTGTTTGGCAGAGTACCAAAATTGTCTCATTTTAAAGTGTTTGGCACTGCTGTCTATCCGTATCTTAGACCATTTAATGACAATAAGTTACAGCTCAGATCTTCTCAATGTCCTTTTCTAGGTTATTCAAATGGTTACAAAGGCGTAGTTTGTTATAATTTACAAACTAGCAAACTGGTTATATCAAGACATGTTATACATGATGAATCAGTTTTTCCATATCAGAAGTCATTGGCAAAGCATAAAGAAAAGGTTTCAGATTTACAGAAGCCTAGACAGGTTCCAATATTGGTCCAACTTCCAGTTATGGAAGATCATAATTCAGCATTCTTGTCACATTCTACCTCAACTCAAGACAGTCAACAGAGTCTGGGGCATATTAATGCAGGTCAGTCTATATCTGAGATTGGGACTCCAAGCTCTTCAAGTTTATCACATTCAGCAACATTGGACACTTCTCATCATCACTCTATTCCAATTTCTTCCACATCACCCTTGTTGCCTGTCCATCACAGCTCACAATTGGAGGTAATTCTTCCTATCTCAGCACATGATAATACAAATTCTGCGAATTCTACATCTGTGTTAAATTCAGCTTCTCAGCATCCTATGGTAACAAGGTTGAAAAGTGGAACAATTCCAAGGAGAAATTATGCAGCATATTTGGCCACATTTCCTGAGCTACATACACTCCACTTAATAGAAGATGAACCATTTTATGGAAGGTTCTCTTTTGTTACTCAAGTCACTGATATTGCAGAACCATCAAGTTTCAGGAAAGCTTCGTGCATACCACACTGGCAGCAAGCAATGTAAGAAGAATATGATTCTTTGAGAGCACAAGGAACTTGGGAATTAGTTTCTCCACCTAATGACAGATCCATAGTAGGGAGTAAGTGGGTGTACAAACTGAAAAAGAATGCAGATGAGAGTATATCCATATATAAGGCTAGATTGGTTGCCCAAGGGTTTTCACAGGAGCATGGCGTGGATTATTCAGAGACTTTTAGTCCTGTTGTCAGACATACAACAGTGCGAATTATTTTGTCTCTTGCTACAATGAATCATTGGGAATTAAAACAATTGGACATAAAAAATGCATTCCTTCATGGTGATTTACAGGATGAGGTTTATATGAAACAACCACAAGGCTTTATTGATCCTTCACATCCCAATCTTGTTTGCAGGTTACTCAAGTCTCTATATGGGCTTAAACAGGCCCAAGAGCCTGGAATTCAAAATTCACTAGTTATCTAGTTGCAATGGGGTTCACTGCATCATTATCAGATACCAGTTTATTCACAAAGAAGGATGGTGATGATCTTGTGATTTTATTACTCTATGTTGATGACATTATCCTCACAGGTTCCAACACTTCCAAGATTAATATAGCAATCCAAGAATTGTCTGAAGTATTTGATTTGAAAGATCTTGGCAGACTCACATTCTTTCTCGGGTTACAGATTGACTATAAGGATAATGGAGATATCTTTGTGAATCAAACAAAGTATATCAAGGACCTTATACACAAAGTAGGTTTGGAGTCATGTAAACCTGCTACAACTCCCTGCAAGCCTCATAATTCGATGCTTGTGACAGAAGGTAAACCATTGGCTGATCCTAGTATCTACAGAAGTATTGTGGGGTCTCTTCAATATTTGACATTCACAAGGCCAGATATAGCCTTTGCAGTGAATTCGGTATGTCAATTCATGACTTCACCAACTGATGTTCATTTAACAGTAGTGAAACGAATTCTGAGATACTTGCACGGTACAATTCAAGCTGGTATTTGCTATTCTGCAACTGCAGCAGTAAGTTTGAATGCATTTTCAGATGCAGATTGGGCTGCAGATCTTAACACCAGACGATCAGTGACAGGTTATGTAGTTTTCCTTGGACATAATCCTATTTCTTGGCAGTCAAAGAAGCAAACTTCAGTTTCCCGAAGCTCCACAGAAGCTGAGTATAAAGCATTAGCTCATACAGCTACAGATATTACATGGGTGCGCCATATTTTAAAAGATTTAAATGTTTTTCTTCCTCATCCACCTGTGATCCATTGTGATAACATGTATGCGATATCATTGAGTGCCAATCCTGTATTTCATTCAAGAATCAAACATTTGGACACAGATTATCATTTTGTCCGAGAAAGAGTACAACCAGGTGATCTGAAGGTGGTGTATATTCCTACAGATGATCAAGCAGTTGACATTCTAACAAAGGGATTGCACAGTCCTGCGTTTGTTAAGCATTGTTACAATCTGCAACTAGGAAATCCTAGTTGAGATTGAGGGGGGATATTGACGGTGATGATGACTTGGCAATCAACTAATGACATGGCAATATTAGACATTAAAGACTGATGACTTGGATGATGACTTGGCATTTAGTCTGTTAATATTGTTGTAACTAATTCAGGTTGTTAGGACTGATTGTTAGAGTTAGTTAGCACAAAGAGGCTATATAAGCCAAGTACTGGTGTAAGAATCGATCAATCAAGTGTATCATTTTCCTTCAGAAATACAAGCTTTCTCAATTCATTTTTCCTTTGATTTTCTCTCTACTTCTTCCTTTATATTTCCCATTCCCTTTCTATTTTCCAGTTCTGTTATGAAAAAACTGCTTCACTTTAAAGTTAGGTAGTAAAAAAATGTTTGGTAAAAATAAAATATACTGCTTATTTTAAAAGCAATGATCTCCAAACAACAGATTTTAAAAGCATCTTGTAGGTTGCTTTTAAAATCTGCTATAATAAAAAGCGGAGTTGAGCCTTTAAAATGTTTTGAATTCATGTAAGAAGCTCATTAATTTTAAACTATTACATTATTTATCTTTCTAGACACTGCTTTTCATGCTCACAACACTTTTAAAAATACAGTTTATCAAACGCTCAACTGCTTTATTTTGGAGCTAGTTATTCATAAAGCACAACAGAAGCAATTTATTAGAAAAACACACCAATTCCAAACTGGTCCTTAGTTAGATCAAACAAGTTTTTTCTATTAAAATTTAAGAAAGGTTTCCTTGTTGTTGGCATAATTTGCTGAACAATTATGAAGGCCATAGAGAGAGGGAAGGTGCAGCATAGAGAGAAGAAGAGAAAGATGTGTAATTGTGAGGTGTGTGTTATTCCACCCATTGTGCCTTTATTTATAGTAGTAGGGAAGGTTAATTCCTTACCCTTTAGGATTACAACATTTAATAGGTAATATACTCATAATAGGAATATGAGAGATATTCCAAGATATATTAGGATTTACACAATCACATTCCTAATCTAATAGGACTGCAACACTCCCCTTTGATTGTGTAAATACTCAAGTAAATGGTGTGTTAGGTCTTCAGTTATGAAGCAAGTACAGTTGATGAAGTTGTCGACACAATGAGCAAATGCGAGTCTCAAATCAACGGAAGAATGCATAAAAAGTAAAACTCACAAAACCTCGCTATGGTAAAACCCAAGGTGGGAGAAAAACTCATAGACTAAGGAGAAAAGTGAGAAGTTGCATTAAGTCAAAACTATACGTCTTTTGGATGCAAGTAGAAGAGAGCTCACAAGGGTATGATCATCCCATGATAGGTGCCTAGTTAAAACTTAGTTAGGTAGCAAAAACCTAGTGGGAAAAATGCTCCTAATCGTAGGGAAAAAGAGTACATTAAGATCAAGTGAGTATACTTCTGGATACTCCCCCTGAGTTTGACATAACTTCCAAATGAGAACTACAAGCATTGCATATGAATAGTTAGGCATACCAATTCTTCGGACAAGCTTTTGGAAGGTTGACTTCGGCAGTGATGTCGTGTAGAGGTCGACAAGGTTGTCTAGGATCAGCTTGCATGACTACAATCTCCTGATGCTTTGTTGATGTAGATGTGGACGCAATATGTCTTGGCGTTGACTTTGTTGATGTATCATGGCTTGGTCGGGTTGATACATGCGGCATAGTCTTCATGGATCGTCGTTGGGACTCAACAATAGATGAAAATAGCAAGTACTTCGAATATACTCAACAAGAACTCCTAACCATGTCTCACTTGTGGCGCAGTGAAGTGAGGTGAATCTTGGAAAGATTTGAAGATTTCACAACTAAGGTCATATTGTGGACCTCCAAGATATTACGATATCACTAATGGTAAAGACATAGCCATTTGGGGATTTTGCCTTGTGCAGGTTTGATAAGTAACCTGCGTCAGCATAACAAACAAGGCAAGCATCATTTTGAGGATCAGGGGGGTTGGATCCGCTGAGATGTGTTGGGATTAGCCCTCATAGTACCTTCAAGGTATGTCTTTAATACCAATTTAGTGGTTGCGTGTAGGCGTGTTGTTGCATCTTTACCAAGATCAACAGCGAAGGAGATGTCCTGTCTAAATACAATGAACTAAGTATAACGAAGCGCAAAGTTGAACTTTAGATATGGAATTTTGGATTCCATAACATCTTCAAGGGTCTCATTTGCATATAACGTATGGACGATCAAAGGTATACTCAAAGGTGACACATTCAGGGTGTAGTTCGACTGGTTGACCAAAATACCATTAGAACAATGCTTCAACTTTAGGTCAAGGAATAAACGAGTTTTCCCAAGATCTTTCATCTCAAATTTCATCTACAGGTGTGAGGTAGTGTTCTCAAGCTCTTCCGGAGTCTTAGTGAGATTCGTGTTAACAACATAAATTGTAACTCTAGCAATTCGGAATAAGACTTCATAGTTTAACATGTAAGGGCATAATTCATCCCTGACTGATCAAATAATCACTTAGACGGGTATATCACATCCGTCGGATTGTAAGTGAACGCCTCAAACAAGTTAAGAGGATGTTCCGTGGGTTGGAACTATTTGAACCAGTCCATGTAATTCTTCGAGAACTTACATGTAAATTTCCGTATTAATATCCCCATGGAGAAAACACTAACCTCATTTCATCATGCTGCTATCAATTACAAGACGTTTTGAGAGAAACCTTGCACCGTAAGGCGTGCATCATATCGCACTATTTCATTCATCTCATAACGCTTCCTTTCCCACTTGTAACACAATAAGGTTACCTTGGGCAGCGTAGGAATGACAGGTCCAAACACACTTTGGTAAGGAATTTTAACCTGGATTGTAATTTCGGTTGTCCAATCAATTCTACGTTGTCATTTAATCAACGGAACACGGTTTGATATTGTTGCTTTTCATTTATGTCAGTAGTTACCATATAAGTGAAAACATCATTGATGATAATCTCATTTCAATTCCATTTAGCTCATCCAAACTAGTATACTAGACCAAGAACTTTAAGTCTCAAGATAAATTCGGATTAATCCCATGAGATGGAAATGATTTAAGACAGTGATCGAGTTTAGATTCATTGTTCTGCCGTGTCTTCCTCTTCTAGGAAAGTGAATCCTATGAACCGAATGATTTGTTATGCTCTAGGCCAAGACAGATTGATTGGCTATCCACCAGTGTACATGACCGTCTAACGGGGGCATCCAAACCGTCTAATAGGGGCGGAACACCCTCTAGGGATGTTGACTTAACGTCCGTTAAGTACGTCTATCTTTGCAGCTGGTGTATGATCTCGTCACTTTAGCTAGATCAGAGGAATGCGTTTCGAGCAACATTCTGAAATCTAGAATTCATTGCACTTGTTTATCACACTTGTGCAGTATAAGGATCGAGATGAGACATAGTGGGCAACGTCCATGCAAATTCGTGCCATGCTCTAGGAATATTGACGTTCTTATCTCCCCTTAACGGCGGGAAGACTGTCTCATTACAGTGACAACCCACAAATAAGCGGTAAAAAGATTGCATGCAAGGGCTCGAAGAGCTCTAGTGTGAAGGAGAATCATGATCGACAAAAGATACACATCCTTCTTTGAGGACCCATGGTGGTATGTTGCGGCAACGTAACTTGGCCATGGAATGCACACCCAAATGCGTAAATACGAAAATTGTCAAGTTTATATCTAGTAACCAACTATAACGTCATATAGATTAGGTAGCAATGGGCCTCAAGGCAGACCAACATAACTACGTACAAGGATTGTATAACCCTAGGCAGAAATCGAAAACTTGGTACGTTACCAAATTTCGGGCAATCATTTAAATTGCGCTTTATGATCACTGGGCGAGGCTATTTAGGGTGAATCATAGGAATTCGATGTTCAATTATAAACCCAAAACAACATGCAATACTTCACTGAAAACCGTCGATATAAACTTTCCGGCATTATCCAAACTCCCAGACTTTATGGGATAAGTAGGGTGGTGAACCCTTAATCGGCCAAGAGGTTTAGCAGTAATGTGTGTGGACAAACATGTGACCAGTTTGTCGATTCATCAACCAAAACTATAAGTATTTATATGGTCCGCGTTTTGGTTGGATTAGTCCACATATATTCCCTTGAATCTACTGTGAAAAGAGAGTCGTTTCGTATCTTTGCAAGGAATGATATAGAAATCAATTTCCTTAATAAGCAGGCTTGCAGAGTGTGCTTGTAGGCACAAGATCCTTACTTCGGGTAAGGAGATGCGTCGTAGCATTATTAGTTGACCTAAGTGTCCCAAAAAGTCATGCCCAAGCAAGTAAATTGCTCAATCACCAGGCTCCAAGCTGGCCACATGTGGTGTATTCCCAGTTGGGAGACAACTTATTGGCCTTAAATCAAAGCTTCATGCTCATTTTTGGAGGTGGTACAAAGATATTTCACTCTATTTTCTTTAGTGATTTCATTTATGATAATTGTCATCTCGAATATCCTTAAAAACTCAGCATCAGGGAGAACTTAAGGTCCCTAAAATGGTGATTTAGTACCATTTATACAATGAGGAGCGTGTCAATGCTCTTAATCAGGTAGGATAGACCTAAAGTCATTGTTAGAGATGTGATTTAGGTGTAAAGTTAGTGTGCGTAGTATGCATTCATCCAGATAACTAACTTTCCCACATTCCTACCTAATCACATGTTTAATTGAATAGGTCGCATGTATTAAGAAACATGATTCAATTAACTAATATTCAAGGACAATATCAATAAGATTATCCATAAGTAAAACATACACCAAATGTGAATCCAAGAACATGGAAAAATGTTCACAAAGTAAATTGTTTACTAAGGGGATTTGGCCAACAAGGCCATCCATATCAAAATTAGTCTCACATATTGACTACGAGAATGGTACTCCTTAACAACATTGGTAGGGGCACGAACAGGTGCATAACTAATGATCTATTCCATCAAGATGGAAGTAGATTCTGCAGGGTTAATGTGTAGGAATACTATCCCTTAT